ATCACCTCGAGATTTACACTTTTACCAGGTATTCTAACATTTAATTTAATCTCATACAAGTTAAATCACTGAGGTACTATTGAGTTTTAAACTCGTAAAATAGGAACAATAACAATTCAAAAAGTTCTTCAATTCAGTACATCAGTATAGAACTTTAGGGTGAGAACACCTTATCACAGCTTGGAGCAAAATCATGCTCTTCAATCAACTTGGGTAATAGTTATTAATATCGAAACATCACTTACAAAGTTTGGCTACGAGTTTATCATCACAGAACGTTTAGGGTAACAACCTAAATTCATGTTGGGAGTCGGGTCAAAAACCTCGAACAATTAATCTCCCACAATACTCATGGAGTAACTTCCAAGATTGGGATGAATACTGACATTATTCCTTTTTTTTGAAAAGGTTGGGTCATAACAAATAAGATACTTTGATATACTTATTACAGAATGCTTACTTGACATCAAAGTTCTGGCTCAAAAGAGTACGATCATAATCTAGGGGCATGTACATACTAGACATCCTATGAAAGAGCATCGATCGATCTACCCAGAAGACTCGACTTAAATTAAGCTCTGATACCACTAAATGTAACACCCCCAGACCTATGCGGGTGACCCGATCGCTCCGAGGTGTCACATTGGGCCCACCGGAGCTACCCACAGTAAAATCTAGGAAAATGTTTACCTTTTGTTAAAACATGTAAGATCATAAAACAATTTATAAATAAAATACAAGTTCATAAAACTATTCATATATTACAACATAATTAAAATAATACAAGTTCAAACTCAGTATAAAAAGTCAAATATGGCCTACATACCTCTAATTACACTTGTATCGTACTCTTCAACCCAAGCCAAAGGAACTCCCATTACAGATGTCGATAGTTGCACTCGATCAACTCTTTTAACCTGAAATGGTGAGTAAAATAGTGAGCTTTGGGAAGCTCAGTAATACAGAACTACCAGGTGATTACAATAGGTCCTTGGGTATATGGTAAAGTATAACTTTCCTTAGTGGGATAGACATCATCAGATTCTATCGATGAATTAGATTCCATTAGTCTTCAGTTACAAACAGGGACTTACGGTCTGAAAGAAGTATTCAAATGGATATATTTATAAGATTAAATTGGGTACTCTAGTGTGTTCCAACAAAATGGAGAATTGCGTATGGATCCTTTAAAAACATTAGTAGTTTAAAACACATTTTAAAACCAAAATAATACCCTTCAATCGAACACCTATATATTATTTCCCTAGAACTTCATCCATAAGGACTTACCCTAAGAACCCAACAAAAAAGTCACCCTAAGGGAGTACCTTGGAGCCTAAGGGCCTACCCAAGGGTCTTCTTAAGTCCGTAAGGAATTACCAGCTTGATTAGAGCTGAACCTCCATACTCCAAAATCGTATCCATACAGTATCCAATAGAAATCAGATTTAGTAGTAACTTTAATATCAAAATCATGATCCAGTAGAATGTTGTAAAAATGACAATGTAGTTATTTAAATCACATGAATGCCCTTTATCCGTACACAAAAATACAGTCTTATACTAAGGGAGTGCCTTGGGGCCTTAGAGCCTACCTAAGGAATACCTTAGGTCCGTAAGGAATTACCAGCTTGATCAAAGCTGAACCTCCATACTCCAAAATCCTACCGAGATAGTGTCCCAATAAAATAATTCAAGTAGAATCCAGTATATTCATTGATCTATAAATCAGAAACGATTGTATTTTTAAGCGAAATAATGTAACCAGAGAGCAATAACCATAGTTCATAAATAGTAAATCAATACATTAGTAAATAAGAATATCGAACAGTTAAAAGATTCAGTAAAACAGTAACATCATCAGTAAATCACATTTCAGGACAGATAAAAAAATCATATAGTACCTATGGAACACACTAGAGGGTTCAATAATTTTCCAGAGGTACTTGGTATTTTTTAGGTAGGGAACCATGAAACATTTGTAAATTGATAGGGTTTCATAAATAAGATTCCTATAATAAGGGGGTTCGATAGCTAACAGATTCATCCGTCATTCGAGAACTGATTTATCAAGATCATATAGTATTCATATATTTTTCAGAGGCACTAAGTAATCAGGAAGGTATTCAGAATCTTTTACATCAGAGTTACTTGATATTTCAGATATGACAGGAATGATTCCATTATTCAGGCAATCAAAGGCATTTTAGATATTTTGGTTTCTTGAAGAATTCTTAGTAATTTAACCCAATGAGAGTAAACCAATAATTTATAGTATTTAGGATTTATATCGAATTATCAGGATTTCGAGTCAAATTAAACTAACAAATCCCAACACTCCGATACTTGTCAATCATTCAAACCGAGGTACTTTACCATTATTCACTTCTTAATACTAACTACTCTAGTATATATGATTACCTTTATAATCATTGTTGAATGGATCTTAGGGAGAAGAACATGCATTCCAATGGTATTTATTTCATTTTTGTATTGCAACAATATCAGGAAATGTCGATGTGCTTGATTTGGGGTTCCTAACCCTTATGAATAGTATAACATATAAGTTCATCAGTGTTTCTAGACTTATCCAAGTCTTCCAATAAATTCTAGTTTATAGAGGGTACTTAGGTCATTTAGTATTCAAGTTTATCCCATTCATTTTGGTGTTTCTTGAGTAATTCAGTTGTTTCAACGATTCGGATATGTACAATACTTCCATTCAATTCAACTCTGTCATATAATATTGTCCTTCCGAGTAATTTAAATGTGTAAAGTACTTTCGGTAATTTAGCCTCTGGGTGTTCGCTCAGAAAATAGAAATTCTAGGTTATTTTGGTATTCGAGGTTGATTTATTCATTTCAGAGCTTGAGGGTATTTAGTCATTCTAGGGCTTGGAGGTACTTTCAATCCAATATTTCAATCTAATTCAATTTTTTGAACAATTCAAACATAAATAATACTATCGATGTTTTAGTAATTAGGTTTTTGCTGATTAATCAATAATTCTAGGTCTTGTACCTTCTCGGATGTTAGGATCTGTTTATCAGTGATTTTCTGAACAGATCATGAATTTAACAAGTGAATAAGTAGTTTGTCGAATTAAATACAAATTCACAGGGTATTTTCACTATTAGGGTTAATTCGAACCATTTTTACATCGTAGGGGTAATTTCATAATTTCTTAATCAAGTGATTCCGATATTAAAACTTTTAAAAAATAATTAAAATTCAAAGATTATGAGGCTGATTGCTTTATCGGTTAATCACTGAACCTGAAATTATTTCTTATCAATATTCTAGTGTCCTGTGTGTGTAATCTGGGTCCTATTTAGTTTAATTATTTTTCCTTGCATTTGGATCGAGTTTAGAAATATATTAATTAAACTCATGTAACCAAACATATGCATTTATGCATTAACCAATGACAGATGTTCCATAAAGCATACATAAGGTAGTAATATATTACATCGATTTTTTAGCCATAATGGGTAACCAATTAAACTCCATTTAATCTCCCTCCAACTTTAATTCCATGTATCATAACGTCTCGGATACATGGAAAAACCAATTACATTAGAAACGAAACTTAAACATGAAAACTCGTATTGAATCAGAAGATGAAATACCTAAAATAGCTTACCAAAATTGAATTTGGAGAAACGGACTTCGGATTTGGACTCAAGACGTCGAAAAACATTAAATATAATTTTTCATAAGAATTGACTTTTTGGTCAAAGTCAAAGTCAATGTTGGTCAAAATCAAAGTCAACTCTGGTCAACATCAACAAGTTGACTCAATCGGGTTGATTCAGTGAGTTGACTCATATTGACCGGTTCGGGTTGACTCAGTCGGGTCAAAAAGACTCGGTTCGGTCCACCTAGACTATTATAGAAGGCTCCTGGACTGGCAGAAGAGCCCCACGCTCACTTACAATGCGTGCGGCGACGACGGGGCTTTTTAAGGATGGTCGATTACTTCCTGTTCAAGTACTCACCAAAATCACCCAAAAACATATCAACAATCCAATTAAAACACAGTGAATTGGGTGGAAGAAAATGGTTGGATCACTTACCACAGAAGACTATGAACAAGCGACGGTGGGGCGATGAACCCGATCGGCTTTTGGGCTGATGACAATGGGTAGCGGTGGGGTGAATGCAGTGCCTAAACTGGCCAAAATCGAGGAAAAATGTGCCGGCGGTGCTAGGGATTCGACGAACTTTGACGATCTCCCCCACAGTGAACGATAGCTGATAGCACCGAATGGCCTTAAGGGTTTTGGTCAGGTTTTGAAGATGCTTCACTAGAACGGGCGGTGACGTGAATCGCCGGCCAGAGGAGGGAGAATCAACGGAGGGAAGCATGAATTGTTTTCCCCTTTTTCTCTACGAACGATTGCCAATTTGGGTAACCAAGGGGTTGGGGTTGGTTCTCGGGATGGCACTGGTTTTGCTAGCGGTAGGGTGGAAGCTACGAATGGTCAGAATACAATGGTTGGCGGTGGGGGTTGTTTTTGGGGATAATTGATTCGGGTTTGGGGTTGAATCACTAACACATGGCATAGTTGGCCATACCATAGGTTAGGGGTTCAAAATTGACCCCAAAAACTTTAAGATTATTCATTCCGGTCCCTTAATTAAACTAAATAAATTAAATGTATTTTACATAAAAAATTTGGGTTGTGACAAGGTGAATGTGGACAAATCTTGAGTCGGCAAAGCAAAGTAAGTTAAAACAAATCCAAAAGAGGAAATGATGAAGCCACCCCAAAAGCAATGCTTTATTTCTTTTTCCTGCAGCAGCTGTGAAAACAATAGTTTCAGTAAGAGGAAAAAAAAGTATCAATCAAACAAAGATAATGCACGGTATAAAGAAACAAATTAAAATATCATTGAAAATGGCCCCATGCTTACGGAGCCCCGATATTACTTTGCTTTCAAGATAAACAGCTCCCTCATTCACTTCCCAACAGGCTGGTTAAGGTCCAGTCTCATGAATCTGTAGAAGACAGACATTGTTATTGTTAGCAAAAATGGGCAATTGTGTTACAGATTGCAAGAACAAAGATAGTGCAGACGTGAAACTAAGTGCTCAAATTCATCCCCCCACCACGAAGGATAACTTCGCTAAAAGGGAGCACTCCATTGTTGAGCCTTCATTAATGTACCAACAAACTAGTTTTGGAGACTTGGGTATGTTTTCCAACCTCTCTTTCTTATGTTTGTTCTCTTTTGGGGATATTAACTTGGTATTGCTCGGGCTTTACGTTTGTTTCATCTCAATGAGGAAGTTTGAAAATACATTTGTTTGCTGCTCATATATAATTAATTAGGCTTCAATTAATAAGGATTTGTTCGTGTTCTTTTGTTTATTTTTAAATTGTTTATATTTGATTTGTATTCCTTTAAATTTTTAATATTGTGTTCATGCTCGTTTATTTAGCGTATGAACATATCTAATTAATATCTACCTACATGTTCGTTTATATCTTTGGAATGGTAACACTACTAGTCCTTAAGCTCTTTAGGCTTTACAGTTTGAACTCCAAATTTCATCCTATAATCAATTTAATTCATACCTTCACCGATATTTAAAATGTACAAAAAATAAAAGAAAAAGGAGAACCGAATAAACAAACATGTATACGAGTTGATAAATGAATTTATAAGCGAGGTTATTCATGAACATAAATGAATGAAACACGTCTATGTTTATGTTTTTTTGTTTATTAAATGAACATAATTTTTTATACTCATTTATTTAGATTATTAAACTAACATCAACAAATGATTCACGAATAATTTATTAAACGCTTTGTTTATTTATATCTCTACTCCTATTTATTTGATCTAGACTATGCGAGTGGCATATAGATGTACAAAATGGCTTGTTTTGACAGTTGTTTCATAAACTTAGGTTCTAATTTTCTGTATGCAGGTAAAACAGAGGAGAATTTTTTTGACTCCAGCCCATGGTTAGAATCTGACAGTGAAGATTTCTTCAGTGTCAATGGTGGTAAGTGTATATTTTTTCCCATTTCCCATTATAATAGCAGCATTGCTAAGTTTCTCTTGATCAAAGCTTGAATTTCGTACAGATTCTTCTTTCTCTCGCGGAAACAGCCCCAAAAACTACGAAAACTTGAAGTTAAATTCTCCCACTGATACAAAGAAGCAACTAATTGAGTTATTTCGAGAGAGCTCCAATGACGATGATGATGCATGACTCATCATTAATTTATTAAATCATTCATCCTCTTCTTCAGTAATTTAAACTCATGTTTGGATGGCCAACAGAAAATAAATATTGTACCTAACTAATGTATTCATGTCATTCTTCTATGTTTTAAGATGTTATATAAATTTTATGTTATATAATAATGTACAAAGGCATTTTGTACACTCAAGGTTCGATTGTCACACTCCACCCGATGGCTTTATATTCCAAGTCCGTCATTCCGAACCGGGTGCTGCATTCGGATCAGACAAAAGTTTGTTAACTATGGTCACGAGTAGAAGTTTTCCACCCATGTTTCCGAATCGAAAGTATACACTTGTGCTCCCTGTCAATGGAACCTGTACCCTCTTCCAGGAACTGTTTTCTGGGTCGAATATCGCCAGCTTCCACTGGGTCTGCCAGTATGCAAAAAAGCTGCTCCACAACGGCATGGGTGATGACCATGACACAATCATCGTTCTTCATCTCACACCAGCTTCAGTTCTTAGGGTTGTACATATCAAAGAACCTTCAGTGTCTGATTCTGAAGCTCAACCTTCCTCCTAAGACGTAAAATTGTCCATTTAGTCCACACGCAAAGCAACCCCAACGTAAAGTTGTCCATTTAGTCCACATGCAAAACAAACTCATCACGGTCGACAGTGGCTTTCCATTTACTTGTATCAGGATCATACACCTCTGCAGTGGAGTGTCTTTCACCATCAAATTTGTACCCTCCAACAACATACACGATGCATGGCATACTATATTTACATAATCCACAATCATTTCTCAAAGAACCATCACAAGCATATTAAAAGATTTAGACCTTGCACTAAGGAAAATGTACACAGTTAAGGACATTAGTTCAAATGCATCATTGACATGCTAAGATGACTTGGTTCGTTGTGGGAATAGAGAAGACCTAAGTTCTATGATCTAATTTATGAGGAGATGGATCAACTTTTTAAGGAAAGTACTATATGATTTCACAGTCCCATAAAGCCATCAGTAAAACTAAATCTCACTCCGGTGGGCCTTTTATACCAGTGTCAAATTACTACTATCTCTAAAGCGAACTCTAATACCAAATCTCGCAATCCAAACCAACATGCAAGGCATTATTTGCTAAACTGGAAAGTGTTATCTGCTTCGGTACCATGACAGACAGCATATAACACAAGTCTTGTGAGATAGCATGATTTCTCGGCCTCTGGAACAACAATAAAACCTAGAAGGTGTTATCTGCTTTGGTACCATAACAGACACAGCATATAACGCAAGTCTTGTAAGATAGCATGATCAAGGCTTTACTCAGCCTCTAGAACAACAATAAAACCTGCCAAACCAGCTCCATCTGTTTATCCCATCGCTGTACGATTAACATTGCAAGTAGCAAGGAAATGTCTTCTGTTTATATCACTTACATTCTACTGAAATATATTCACATCCAAATTCCAACGTTACATATTCGGATCTAAATATGAGACTACGATTCTCTGTATATGTGAAGAGGAAAAAGAAGTTCGGTAATAAATTAATTCATATCAAACGCATACTATATTTGACACTGACTCGGGCCCAAATGACTTAGATTGTCACTAAAAATTTCATGGCTACTTCAGAAAATATGAATATCGCAGCAGGTTCGAACAAATATGATGCACAGCATACTATATTTACAAGGTCACAAATTTATCCTAATAATAACACAGGCTTTTTCTTCAATATCAATCTCTACTACATATATTTTCTTTGCTGACTTTGATTCTTTGTCCTAAGTTGCTGCCAAAGTTAACAAGCAAAACCCAACCCAACACAGCACAAAATCAATGAAAACTAAATCCAAAACCAAGAATAAAAAGAAATTCTCGTCTTTGTTTCCAGTATACCGTAGCAGCAAAGCAACAATGAAATATATTAGTATTGTCAAGGAGGAGAAAGCGGTACTTAACAAAAATACTCTTCCATTAATTGTTTCATAGTTCAAACAATATAGGGGAAATCAAGTAGACGATTGTATCCTTCAAAGCACATAAAAGAAGAAAACACCCATTTAATCTCCTAGCAAACCCTAATGGTGCTAAGATAAAAACAAATGACCTTACTTCTTAGTGCCTTTCTTTTTCAAACGCACAGCTACCTGTGCCTTTGGATGCTTCTCACCTTCACTGAACCAATTGAGTGGGTGATGGTTGAAGAAAGGCCAATTTGGAACCGTAATCAATGCTGTGAGAACAACACCAACAGCATAAACGATCATCATCATCTGAACCGATCCCAACCAATGTTATTAAAACCGAACCGGACCGGACCGATTGGTTCGACCGGTTGAACCGTGAACCAGTGGCCTGTCCGGTCCGGTTAACTCCCAAAACCGGATGAGCACAGAACCGGAAGAACCGACTGAGAACCGACAAAACCGGTGTGAACCGGCTGAAAACCGGCAAAACCGATTTTAACCGCCGTTTTTTTTAAAAAAAAAATAAACCAAATGATGTCATTTGTTAAACGAGCCGAGTCGAACTCGAGTACTGTTGAGCTCGACTCGAACTCGAAAACTTTAAAAGTAAGCTCAACTCGACAAAAAAACTCACGAGCTAAAAATTTTCAAGTTCAATTCGAACTCGAATTATAATATTGAAACTTGAAATCGAAAAGGCTCGAACTAAAAAAAAATTTAGAAGCTCGATTGAAGCCTGAAATTCGAGCTCAATTAAAGCGAAAAAATAATTCGCTCTGTGCTCACCAAAAGGCTCCATGATTTTGAATGTCAAATTACTTCTAGTATTTATAGAAGTCATGCTCTTATATATTTCTTATCCATGTGAGATTGTTTTATTCTCATATTTTTACTCTTTAGACTTTTGGGATGCTCTTCTATGTTTCTTAACCTGTGTAATTGTTTTTAAAAAAAATTAAACAAACGACATCGTTTGTTGTGTCAGCCCCAAATTTATTTTTTTATTATAGTTATATAATTATATTTATTATTTAATATGTTTTACCTTAAATATTATGTTGTAGTTGATTTGAATAATTTTGTTTCACTTGATTTTATGTTTTTTTAACTTATATATGTTATGACTTGTGATATTTTTATACATTTTAATATTGTAAACTTAAAAAAAGTGTTATATATATATTAATATTGCTTTGAATATTATGTAAAATTTTAAAAAATATATTATTTTATATAAAATCCGGTAAGTTGAACCAGTGAACCAGTACCTTCACCGATTCAAGGTCCGGTCCATTTTTAAAAACATTGATCCCAACACATAACCTACAACAAACGAAATCACTGCAAACACCAACAGCAATATCTGCTCCACTAACTTTTTTCCTTGCCAATCCATCTACAATACAATTCAACAACATAAGCCAAACTCTTAAGTAACCACAACAGCAACCCCTAAGATGATTATAAAAATTATAACTATAAACCCACCCATCCTTATAACCATGGTTTTCAGAACTGCATCGGTTAGCGAACCGGTCATGCTATCGGTTTATTGGTTTAATCGGTCGAATCGGTCTGACCGGTCAGAAGAACCGGACGACGTCATAATTTTTTAAAAAAATTAAATAAAAATACCAAAAATATTTAATAAAAAAATAATTTTTTATATCACAAGTCATATTCAAAGCAAATCATAACATATATAAGTTAAAAACCATAAAATCAAGTGAAACAAAATGATTCAAATTAACTACAACATAATATTTAAGGTAAAATATATTAAATAATAAATATAATTATATAACTATAATTAAAAAATAAATTTGGGGTTAAAAAAATCATAACAAAATGATATTGTTTGGTTTAATTTTTTTTAAAAACAATCTCACATGGCTAAGAAACATAGAAGAGCATCCCAAAAGTCTAAAGAGTAAAAATATGAGAACAAAACAATCTCACATTGCTAAGAAACATAGAAGCGCATCACAACTAACTTCTATAAATAATAGAGGTAATTTGGCATTCAAAATCATGGAGCCTTTTGGTGAGCATTGAGTGAACTATTCTTTCACTTCAATCAAGCTCGAATTTTAGGCTTCAATCGAGCTTCTACTTTTTTTTTTGAGTTCAAGCCTTTTTGAGTTCAAGTTTCAATATTATATTTCGAGTTTGAGTTGAACTTGATAATTTTTAGCTTGTGAGTTTGAGTTGAGTTGAGCTTACTTTTAAAGTTTTCAAGTTCGAGTCGAGCTCAGCAATACTCGAGTTCGACTTGGCTCGTTTAACAAACGACGTTGTTTGGTTTAATTTTTTAAAAAACAAAAATCTCGGTTTTTCCCGGTTTTTCCGGTTTTTTCCGATTTTCAGCCGATCCGGTTCAACGGTTCTGGCCGGTTCACTAACAACGGTTCAACCGGTTTAGATTGAACCGGACTAAGCAACGATTCCCGATTGAACCGGCCAGTCCAGTCCGATTTTCAAAACAGAGCTTATAACTACCCCCAGTAAAATGATTTAGTTTTTTGAGCTTTGCCAGTAGAAACAGTAATCTTTGCTTATTTTATTTCCGATTCTTCTACTACAGCAGACATCTATCACTATTATATCCAAAATTTTCCTTATAAATGAATCCCGATCCCCCCAAACTGGTTCCTCTAAGTTCCATTTTTGATCAACCCGTGACTATTCATTTCATATAGAATTCATATAATTTTTAAAATATATACTTAAAATTTTAAACATATTTAAATAATTTGAAAATTACTTATATTCAACCTCTATAATCTCTAATTTAAATTAATGACTAAGGCTCTCAAACACTTAATTTCATATTCATATTTTAATTATTTTCATTATAAATGATTCATTTTTCAAGATAATTTCATTTTAATCTGACAAATGGGTTTTTATGTTATCAATTACAAACAAAACAAAAACATGAAAAAGGTAAGTCGAAAAGAAGTTAATTAAAAGATTAAAGATAATTCTTTGAGAAAATGACACAAATTAGTTTTTTAAAGAAAAATGAGCCTCGTTAAAAACTCCTTCTAAGCATATAAGGGGAAAAATACCTTAGGTACTTGTATTACCATAAACATAATCATTGAATACAACAGGTAAGATAAGTTCATGACAAACTCAGTCAAAATACAAAGCATTGTCAAACCTAAGAGCCCATATAGCTAGAGTATGGGCCACTGAATTGCAAGATCTAAGAACATAGCAAACCTTGAAGTGGATCCTAGCCTCTAGTGTCTTACGAGATTCCAAAAGGTGGTAACCCAACGTGGATAGATCCTCTTCTTGTCGCGACAACTTGTTAACAACGAACGTCAAGTCCGATTTGAATATGACATGGGTCTAACTATACTCGCTAGCCAACAAAAGAGTAGCATTGAAAGCGCGAATCTCCGATAGACCAACTTCAACATAACCTGGCAATGTCGTAACCATTCCTCGAAGTACCTGTCCAAGAGAGTCTCAAGCAATAACATCAATAGCTGTCATCCTCCCAATTGGTTCGAAAGCACCATCCATGTTAATTTAACATAACCTGGAGGTGGTTATCATTTTTTCTGGCCTAGCAGCGACGACGTTCTGGGAGAAAAATGCATTGTCCTCACTCTTCCAGTGCTTGGTTCCTGGCCGATAAGAATTCTTGTTGCAAATACTTATCATTGTTATCCAATATCCATGGGAGTTTCCATTTTTTATGCATTTTGGAATTCTTTTTGTTCCAAAGATTCCAAAGGAGAATAAGAAAGAAAGCTAGGTCATCAATCTTCATGACAAGGATTACCGAATCGAGCCAATCTAAAGGAGATACAAGTTGACTAGACAAAAATAAACCTTGTACTCCAACACAAACAAACGTTTCCTGAGCATATGTGCAATCTCTCAAGACGTGAACGATTTTCTCTTCTTCCTTTCCACACATTGGACATATACCATCACTTATTCTGGTCTCACGCAAACTCTTACCAACCGTAAGCCACCATGAGCCACTCGCCAAGATAAGATGTTAATCTTGGGTAAAAGCTGTAGTTTAGCAATTAATTTCCAAACTCTGCTCGTGACTGTCATAGAATGAGATGGTCATTGAAGCCATCAGTATCCCAAAAAAAACAGAATAAATACTTGAGTCATGGTAACCCCAAATAATCATATCCCTATTGTTTGGAACAATGTTTGTTTTCAAAATCAGTTTAGAGTCTATAGGATTGAAAATTTGATGTACCCTCGACTAATTCCAAGAAGTCATCCCCTCTGCATGAAATTCCTAGCCCGAAGTTGTTGTGTATGAAGATAGGAATAGTCTCCCGAGCGAGAGACTAACTTTAATAGGCCCCCAATGATATATCGTCATGTGAATATTACTATCCCATCCTACTCTTCAAAACAATGCACCTGATAAAAGCTTGAATAGTATTGTGAATACCATTCTAAGCATAAGAAATCATATCGCCCTTAGGGGTACTAGTAGGTCACAATTTAGAATACTTTGCTTTCTAGACTCGTGCCAACAAACACTCAGGAAGATGAATTAATCTCCATAATTTTTTTACCGAGCATAGCCAAATTAAAATAGCAAAGATGTCTTAACCCAAGAACCCTTGACTCTTCGGGGTACAAATCATTACCCATGCCCCTAACGACCATCCACACTCTGATATCTAATATGTCCACTAAAATTGTCTCATTATGCCAGAGATTCCATTAAGCTATTTTCAAGAACCAGATAACAAGACATCGCGTATTAAGGGAGGGCCCGAGCCTTGATTTTAGAAATACCTCCCTACCACCATAGGATTACAATCACTTTATTCATCTAGTAACGCGTTCATGAACCTTATCCCGCAGATATCCAAATGTACGAGTTTTGTTTTTCCAAATATTTAATGGAAGTCCTAAGTATTGGCCTAAGGAGTCGACAGCCTGTATACCTTTAATATTTGGGCTAAAGTACAATATTGATTTAGTCAAGTTCACATGTTGACCAAAAGTGGCCACGTAAACGCTTAATATTTCTTTTATCTAAGTAGCCTCAGTGATTACCCTGCAAAAAGACTATTTTATTTCTTTTTTAATTAGGTTGTTGGTTGTCTAAAAACCCATGTTATTGCATTTAGTTGCATTTAGACTCAAATATTTGCAAGTGATGTTAATGTTTTGTTGTAACATTTTATTTTGAAAACTGGTGTTTCTTGATGGGAAAGATTGTGCTCTTGTGATGATGTGCAAGTGAAGAGGGATAAAGAAAAAACATTTATTTGTTGTAGCATTCTGGATGATGAGACTCGGTGAAATGCTATAGTATTCTAGATGCCATTGTTGGGCAGAAAATAATAAAAATGATGAATATATTTTTATGAGAGTTGTCAACTGTCTATGTTTTCACGTGAACATGACAGCCTAGCACACCCTTCACATGGAAGGGATGATACATAGGGTACAAGGAAATTTTGGTACAAAACCCTAAGAAATTCCCTTAGTATAAATAGATAAGGATGCCTTACATTTAAGGGATATTTTGGAAATATGAGACAAGGGATAGAAAAAAAGGTGGCTGCACAAAACTTCTATTTTTTCTTCCTTTTCTTCCTTCTTTCATGGTGACCTCCATAGCCAAGCTTCAAGAGGATAGCGAGCTAGGCCCTTTACAGACGCTAGTTTGCTAAGGCGATTCAAGCCAGAGGTTCTAAGTCACGAAAACAACTCATGTTGGGAGTTTTCTTCTTCTTTTTGCTTTTATTTCAATATTGTAAGTGGGTTTATACTGAACGATGAAGATGGCTGAACTTATCCCTGCCATGAACTAACTTATTTGGCGCAAGTTTGCTTCGAATGATTTTTATTTTGTGTTAATGATTGGTTGAATATTTTTTATGTTTAAATGTTATTTTTCTTATTGTTTACACTTTAAATGCTTAGACTTGTAATAGCTTTTGAGAGTTATCCATTTTCTAGGTATATATGCTTGATATCAAGAGAGTTAAGCTAGATCGATGTGAACAAGGGGACTAAATCAGGATGGTGAGGTTATAATATGCCTTAGAGATAAAGAGTGGATTTCATCGAATAAAAGTGGTAAGACGTAATCGATAAGAATGAGTTGCAGTTTACGCTGAGAGGTATTGTTGTAACATTTTCTGTTAGGTTCCTTACTAGAGATAGCTTAGGAGCACTAATAGCAAATTCTTTCGGGTAGCATACTCATAGAATACATAGATCATTCTAGACACAAAATATTAATTGTCGTAGCAAGCCCAATAATTTATCCATATAGAAGCTTGATTATATGAGGTTGTCAGTCTTATTTCATCTGCAAAGTTTAACTTTATTTTGGTTTAACATTTTCTATTTATGTGCTACAACGTTCTTTACTTATTTCCCACAACATTT